CAATTCAAGAAAAAAAATTAATTGCTATCATTAGGAAGTTATATTTATTACCTACACTAATAAATCAAAATACTTCCCAACCAAAGAAAAATTAAGAGGAAATCTATTTTGTTTTAATTAGCCACTTCCTCAATATAATATTATTTATGGTTCATTATTGTGATAGAGAAACTTGTAAGTTCTATGAAGTATACTCTTCTGCCTGAGACCATAATAAATTTATAGCTTTGGAATTTTCACACACTATTCTGAGAGCGTAGGGAGGTGGCGGTCCCATCGCCCGGTCATTGTACCGCAACCAGCCACTGGCCCTCCAGGTTGGGGGAACACTTATACGAACACACACACCAAGTACACTTTATACAGCACACTACAACACCTAAACATTACAGACAAAGGTCACCTACAGTACACACCATAGGGTCACCTTCCCTAGGTAGCCGCCCCGGATGGGGGAGCTAGTCAGGATGCTCGGAGGAGGCAGCCCCTCTACCTGACTCGGGGGCAGTGGGCTGATAACCCACCCCCCCCTAAAGTACCTTATTACGAAACCTCAAAGAGAAGAAGCCGGACTGAATTACGGTAACAGACCCAGGAAACGCCTAAATGACCTAAGAATTGGATTTTGGAACATTTTATCATTACATAGACTAGGAGCACTTCGTGCGCTCCTTGCAGAAGTGGACACATATAGAATCGACATAGCAGCTATCCAAGAGGTCCGATGGATAGGACAGGGAATTATGGAGAAGAAGTACCATTCACTCTACTATAGCTGCCATGAAAAGCATCACGTCTTCGGTACCGGATTTGTTGTGAGAGGCAGAGCTCGACAGCTGGTGATGCGATTTACTCCCATTAACCAAAGGTTATGCTACATTCTGCTTAGAGGAAAATTAACTGCCATGCCCCAACAGAGGTGTCACCTGAGGAGGATAAGGAAACATTTTATGAAGAACTTGGACGCGTGACAGAAAGCTGCCCCAAAAATGATGTTAAAATCATTCTTGGTGACTTTAACGCCCAAGTTGGTAAGGAGGTGGCACTCATGCCGACCATAGGAACCCACAGCTTGCATAAGACCAGTAATGATAATGGGCTACGGATGGTGAACTTTGCTACATTGCACGGACTGGTTGTTGGAACAACTCTTTTTCCTCGAAAGAATATCCACAAACCAACATGGATCTCTCCAAATGGGGAAACAACATCACAGATAGACCATGTACTCATTAGTGCCCGTCACAAGTCCAACATAAAAAAATGCAAGATCTTATAGAGGTGCAAATATGGACACAGATCACTATTTGAGCATTGCCGAGGTCAGATCACGAATTTCGCTGATTAAAAACCACCACCAACGACCAAAGAAGAAGATTGATGTAGCTAAACTTAAGGACTCAGACCACCAATATTCGTATCAACAAGCTGTGGAGACGAAACTTAATGAAGATGTAATTAATGACAGCTCTATGGTCAATGAACAGTGGAAGAGATGCAGCAACGCAATGAAACAGGCAGCAGAAGAATCTCTTGGCTACGAGACTAAATCTAGAAGGCCTCCATGGTTTGATGCTGAGTGCCTTCAAGCAGTAAAAGTGAAAAATGAAGCCTACAGAAAGAAGATTCAGCGTCCCACAAGGCTCTCCCAAGAAACATATCGAAGAAAAAGACGCGAAGAGAAGAGATTATTCCGCGGAAAGAGAAGAGCTTGGGAAAACAAGAACATGGAGGATATATAGGCATTGCGCTGCCAAAATGAAAGTCGGCTGTTCTCTCAGAGAATAAACGAGGGTAGGGCAGCTTTTAGGCCCAGAGTGACGGCATGCAAAGACACGAATGGATCTCTTTTAAGCCACAAAGATGACGTACTAAGGAGATGGGTACAACATTTTAAAGACGCAGAGGAACGGTGCCTGGAGAAGTAGGAGTAATGAAGGAAGACTCCCTGAATTCTATTGAACCCCCGGATGAGGAGGAAATGGAAAATGCCCTGATGAAATTGAAAAATGGAAAGGCGCCAGGCCCGGACGGAATCCAGTCAGAGCTGTTGAAATGTGGAGGTGAAGAACTTAAGAAAGCTCTGCATGATTTAATGCTGACCATCTGGGAGAGGGAAGCTATGCCTACGGAATGGGCAACAGCCATTATCTGCCCAATACATAAGAAAGGAGATCAAACAGAATGCGCTAACTATCGAGGAATCTCACTCCTTTCGTGTGCTTATAAACTGCTCTCTAACATTCTTTTTGAGAGGATTCTCCCATATTCTGAAAAGGAACTGGGGAAATATCAGGCTGGATTTCGAAGAGGACGCTCAACCACTGATCAACTGTTCGCTCTGAGGATGATCCTAGAAAAGACTATGGAGCATAAGGTAGTCACCCACCATTTATTCCAAGACTTTAAAGCAGCATACGACAGCGTTGATAGAACGCAACTATACTGTGCCTTGGAGGAGCTAAGCATCCCTCAGAAGCTCGTACGCCTAATCAAGATGACCATGGACAGCTCGAGATGTAGAATACGCGTCGGTTCTGACGACTCCGAAGAGTTTAAAGTGAGCAGTGGGGTTAGGCAAGGGGATGCCCTCGCCTGTCTATTGTTCAACTTGGCAGAGGAGAAAGCTGTAAGAGACTCCGGTATTCAGACCAACGATATAATCTTCAATCGCCTGACACAGCTTCTTGGTTTTGCTGATGATATTGACATAATAGGTAGGTCTGAACAGGCTCTCAGAGAAGCGTTTATAGGCCTTGAAGCAGCTGCAAGACCACTTGGTCTAGAAGTCAACGAGAGGAAAACTAAGTATATGAGAGTTGGTGGTGAGGTGGATCTGAACTCTCCATTTGAGGTAGGTTCTTTTAAGTTTGAGAGAGTGAAAAGTTTTATATACCTTGGATCTGAAATTAATAGCAAAAATGACATGGCTCAAGAAATACAAAGAAGGATCACGGCTGCCAATAGATGTGTCTATGGACTTGGCCGACACTTAAGAAGTAGGTACCTCTCAAAGAAGACCAAGCTGATCATATACAAGACTCTTGTTCGGCCTGTTTTGACATATGGCTCAGAGGCTTGGACGATGACCAAAAACGATGAGATGAAGCTGAGTGTGTTTGAGCGAGGAGTCCTCAGAAGGATTTATGGTCCAGTAAAGGAGGGTGATGTCTGGAGGAAAAGAAAAAATAGGGAGCTCAGTTCTCTCTATGCAGACATCGACGTAATCACATATATTAAACTGGCCAGACTAAGATGGGCAGGGCATGTGGCCAGAATGAGCACCGTTGAGATACCCAAGAAAATAATGATGGAGGAGCTGCACCTCGCAAGACGGGTAGGAAGGCCGAGGACGAGGTGGTTGGACAACGTGGCCTATGATGCGAGAACCCTGCTTGGTGTACGGAACTGGAGAGCTGCAGCAGAAGACAGAGCCAACTGGCGGAGGCTCTTGGAGGAGGCCCAGTCTCGGTAACGGGATGTCGTGCCACACATGAATGAATGAATGAATGAATTCTGAGAGCAGATGTAACTCTATTACTTTGAAATATTTTGTGGAAAATCCTATCCAGTAAACCTTCTGAAATTTAATTCCGTTTGGTGATTGTTTTATTTTATATAACTTTTTTTAAATAGTTATTGGTAAGAATTATGCTTAGTCTCTAGTAGTGTGTTATCAAATGGTATGATTATTATGGGTCATTTAGAAGCTTGGGAAATGTTTTAAAATCTTGAAACTTTAAACTAAAAGTTAAAGGCAATAATTCTAGATAACATTGTGATTCCTGTACTATTTCCCTTGCAACTTGCCTATATAACTACTTCAATACACTATTAGGAATTCAGTCAAAACTTATGTTTCTATTAATATTTAAATTATTTCATGTTGTTAAAAATATTCTGATGTGTGATCTATTATAGGAAATTCAGCCTAAAACGTTAAAAAGTCTAAAATCTCTTTGCAAGTTTTTTGATAGAATAAAAGTAATTTTATTTAAATCAGAGTATTCAAATTTATTTTATTGGAATCTAGGGATCAAATATAATGGTTAGTTATATATATAACCCTAACTGAACATCAGTGGGGACCGTGACAGAACTTGTTGAGTACTCTGTTTTCTGGTTTGTTGACTGAATTTAAAATGGAAGATAAGAATAAGCAGAGAAAGATTTTCTGCATTGCCTTTACAAGGTGCACTAACGACTTAGAACAGTCGCTCAATTGTGATAATCATTATTTGGAAGAGTTGTCCACTCACTCAGAGCTTTTGAAACAGAAGTTGGAGATTTTAGATTTAATTGAGAAGGAATAGGTGCTGCTGCTATTTTGACTTTTTTTAAATTACAGATTATCATGCTCTTAACATATATGTTAATAACATTAAATATGCTTTGCAGGAGTGGGGTAGCTCAGTGGGTGAGCATTGACTTCCAAAGTTCAAGGTCCTAGGTTTGAATCCGGCTGATGACAAGTCATTTTTTGTGAATAATTTAATGATTTTCCCTCTGTGAAATTGCAATGTTATCAACTTACAATTCTTATGACAGTTGTTGACCTATCATTGGTTGGCAATGAAAACCTCGTATCTCCATTTCATTACATGCTATAAGGAAAATATTTAAAAAGTGATTGAGATTTAATTTCTATTATTCTTTCTATTATCCTTACTCACTTATTGATTAATTATGCATGTGCAATTTCAAATATCTCTTTGTATATAAAGCTCAGAAACTGTAGTTATGTAAATAGACAGATGGTGTTACCAGGTTTTTATTGCCTATTGTCGCTGTAATAAATAGGGTTTGAGTTATTGTAATGGTCTTAATGAGTTTTTGCAGGTTAGTTCTAGTGTTTAAGATTTATCTCCATTAAAGATGGACTAAAAAAACATTATAATTGCATGATTTTGCTATAAAATAATTTCTATTCAAAGTAGAGTGATAAGTGAAAGTTGTGTGATGTTTGCACCAGATTTTTTAATTACTCCTCTATTTTTCAGATGAAGATTCCTCTCTATTTCGTGTCTATTGTTTATCACATTTATTCTATGAAATTAGAAATAAATGTTCTGCAGAAATACCAAGTGTAGCCATAATGAAAAGTGAATTAGACAAAGATGTTTTCTCATATGCCAGGGACCTAGGTTGTTATGTAAGTTTTTTTTATTTTAACCTGTTTTTTTTTTTAAAGTTATCATAAATTACAACCAATAAGTGTTGACCTTATATCAAAAGAAGAGGTTTGCTTGCTGTACATATATCCATATGTGCCTTATTCTCATTTCTAACAGTTTCTTCTTTCTTATGTAATAGTAGGGTGTATAAAAAAAGTGACAAATATTTGTATTATTATTTCTTTGATATAAAATACAAATACTACTCAAAGTATAATCCATTGTTATCTACCGTCATTAGCCATACGGTAAGTAATTGCTCAATTCCACGCTGATACCATTCTTTGGGATGGCTGTTCAAGAACTCTTGGACAGCAATTTCTACTTCCGCAAAATTATCAAATTTTTCCCTTGAAGAAAATGGGCCATGGTTCTAATTAAGTAATAATCAATAGTGTGAGGTCTGGACTGTATGATGAATAAGGCAGGAGTTCAGAAGGGTTTTCAACAAATTTTCAAAAATTTCTAACCTCTTAGCTGATTGCTGAAGAGTAAGTTCGTGAGGGACCAGTCTACTGCTCTTTTTCACCTTCCACATGGAAAGTAGATGGCAACTAACAGTATCTTTCGACACAGGCAAGTTAGTGAGTACTTGTGGATGAATTTGACTCAACAGGTTCCTGCAGAACCTCATCAATATCCATTAATGTTCGCCCCGAGGCCTTCTTCCTTTCCAACGTCGTATCTCCACTGCTAAATTTTTCAAACCAATGCCATGCAGTGCACGGGTCAAGGGCACCTTTCCCTTCACATTCAATAATTTCACGAGTTGCTTCAGTTTGCTGTGAATTTTTTTTTCAGTAATGCCTTAAAATAACGAGAATTTCGTAGGGCACTGTCATGTTTCTTCTTTGAAACACATAACTAAACAGACTTTTATTGAAGAAGTCGAATGGGATTAACCAAGGTTAGAGAATGATCTAAAGGGATTATTAAGTATTGGTAAGTATTAAATAGGATTAAAATATTTACAATCCTTTGAATTCTTGAATTTGATAAAACGGTCATTTTTTATTACACCCTATTATTTTATTAGATTTCATCCCAAGGAGTGTTCTTCAGCAAGAGTATCCGGCATCTTCAGCCTCCATGAGACTTGAAACTATCAAATACTCTATGGAAATAACTGAGTTATGATGAATGCAGTCCTCAATGAACATATAGTTTAGTAGGGAGTGAGTTAGGAGAAAGGGAAAAGGCAGTACACAAATTGTAAACATCTACTCTATTTGACCACTTACACATGAATTTAGCACTTATAATTTGTTCTAAAGGGACAACAGTCCCGGAATAATTAAAATATATTTTTATTAATTTTCATTCATTCTTGAAATTGCTTTACGATCCTTTAAAATTATTATAAACAAAGATATTTTTTATTAACTGAAAAGAACGATAAAGATATATATATATATATATATATATATATATATATATATATATATATATATATATATATATATATATTTAATGTATTTTAAAGGCGTCAACTACCAGAGTCATCATCGCCTTATTTCGTCAAGTATTAAATTTCATTGTCCAATTTCGTAAGTTTCAGGAAATGACAAAATGATGAAATGAAACAATTCATATTACTGTTTGTATGTACACATTGATTGAACCATGGTTATACGCTTAATAAGTATGTTTTCATTCCTAAAATAGATGGAACGAAGATTCATTGAAAAAATTCAATTTTATGTTTGTTTGGTGTTAACGAAACCAATTTTTTTCATTAATAACTAACATCAAAACTAATTAGAGAAGAAATATAACAATATGAACGAAGTTTAAAAAGTACATAAACCGAAGTTTTATACATAGTTAAAAGTTATTGTTGCTACATTTTACATTTCAATAATAACTAGTTCAAAAATGCATGTATCTAACCCTTTGCTATTTATTGAGTGCTACCAAATTTCGCAACTATTATAAGTTTCTAATTATTTTAACTGATATTTGTATTAATCTGAATTGTAAAATAAAAATTAAAAAAACTCGATTTAAATACAAAACCTTTTTGATGGACTCCCTTTAAAAAAAATAAATAATTTATAGAACAACTTTTGGTAGAAAATTGAATTTTCTACAGGAAAATGAAAAAAAAAAAAAAGGGAAATGTATGGGAATCTTTTGGAGGAGAACCGCTGGATACCCTGTATGAGCTATAATCCCCGGCCAAGATAACTGGAGGTGGCAACGAATCAAATAAATCTTTTAGTTGTGGAACTGTGAATATTCGACCAGGAGGGAGGTATAAAGAAAAGATTGTGAACGCGGAGAGTTGAGATAAAATTCTTATAGACACCGCTTGTAAACTAGAATTGATATTGATATAAATAAAATGAATGTTGTCATTAATTATAATACAAACCCCACCACAAGCTATTCGACCATCTGTGTAATCCTTCCTCCTAATTACATATCCACAAAATTAAAATTTTTCTGTAGATTTTAAATTTGTTTCTTTCTGTAGGCAGGCTACCGAACAGTTATATTTACTATGTAAAAATTTTAATTCATTTATACGGTGTTTAAGACCGTTAAGATCCCACTGTAGTGTATACATTTGAGAAAATATGTTCTTTCTACTGTCTTCCAATAAGAGTGAGCTAAAAAAATGATGATAATGCTTATTGAATATAAGTAAGTATGATAATTATGGTTATAGTATAGAACATTATAGGTGTGAATGTGTTTTATATATTTCAATTTCATTTAGCTTTTCTCTATTTTTTTATTTTATTTTTTATTTTTTTTACCTATGTATGTTAAACTCTTTTTCTTTTATCTCTACTTTAGTTATCATTTGTATGTATATATTGTGTGAATGTTTAATGTAGCCCTAATATTAATGCCCTCCAATGCAGCAGATTGTATTAATTTTCAAATAAAAAAGTATAGAAAATTATTTTTAACAAATAATAACCACGAAAATAAGATGAAGGAGTATATTGCATAAGAATAACTGAACAAGAATATTTTAGAAAATAAATAATTAATCATAAAAGGAATGAAAATGCCTAAATACATAAAATTTTATTATTAAATTAAAAGTTATAATGTATTGTTGTGATCGTCAAAGCATATTAACAATGACAACAGTATAGATACAAATTTTACTATTAGGATTTCTTGTCTTTATGTTTTTGTTTTGTTATGGTATGGTAAGTATTTTTTCGAGGATGCACTATGTTCATTTAAAGACGATTTTTGATACACTGGTCTATTTCTTTTCAAGTTAATATCTAGTTTAGGTATATTTGATACAATAGTTGGTTTAGTTTTGTTTTCATTTATTGACTTTTGCTCATTATCATTAATGTTATCTTTATTTTCAATTTGGTTATTATTTTTCAGTAGAGAAACTACTAATTTTTCATAGCTATTAATATTGGCATAGGGAGGTAGCGTTTTCATTGCCCGGTCCTAGTACTGCAGATAGCCACTGGTCCTCCAGGTTGGGGGAACATTGCTCTGACTCTCACACATTTGTACTAATTACAGCACACTTCACTCACCCTCACACTTCAGACAAAGGTCATTAACAGTACTCACCCTAGTGTCCCGGATGGGGGAGCGAATCAGGGAGCTCTGAGGAGGCAGCCCCTCCACTTGACTCGAGGGCACTTGAGGCAGTTGGCTGTTAACCAGTTCCTCTCAAATAACTTCATCATGAAACCTTAAACAACATTGGAATTAATTAGTCTCTCAAGTCAAGGAAACGACCAGGCGCCCCCAATGGTAAGAACTTTGACATAGGATATTGGAACACCTTGTCCTTATATCGACCTGGAGTACTGAAACTGCTCCTAGATCAAACAGGTTTTTACAAATTGGACATAGTTGCCATCCAGGAAATCCAATGAACGGGCAAAGGCATAATGCAGAAGAAGAACCACACCATATTTTACAGCTGCCGTGAGAACACCCATGAGATTGGTGTGGGCTTCATTGTTACGGGTAAATTCAGACAGCTAGTGATTGGATGGAAACCTGTGAGTCTCCGAATATGCCACATAAGAATACGGGGGATGTTCTGCAATTACAGCATCATCTGTGCGCACGCTCCCACGGAACTAGGTGATGATGAAGAAAAGGACAGGTTCTGTGACTTGAACCCTCGACGCCTGCCCAAGCTACGATATAAAGATCATCTCTGGAGTCTTTAATGCTAAGATTGGAAAGAAGAGATCTATCGCCCTACTATAGGCCCTCACAGCCTTTATGAAGAATCTAATGAAAATGGACAGCACCTCATCAACTTTGCAGCATCCAAGGGAATGGTTATTGGAGGGACACTCTTACTGCACAGGAGGATATATGAGAGAACCTGGATATCACCTGACAAGAAAACTGTCAATCAAATTGACCACTTTCTAGTGGATGCCAGACATAGATCCACTCTACAAGACCTAAGGACGTATCGTGGAGCGAACATAGATTCTGACAGCTATCGCTCACCTGACAGCCAAGATAAAAACAGAGTGGTGGACTCTTGGACAAAGAGGTAAGAACTTCAACCTGGACAAACTGAAGGTCCCTGACACCAGGACACAGGATATGGAACAGCTGGATGAAGACCTGCACGCTCAAAGAACTAATGGTAACACTAACCTTAGGTGGAAAGTCGGTGCTCAGGCTATGGAGAAGAATGCACAAAAGATGATAGGGTGACAGGATAGATAAATCCGTCCTGCTGGTTTGACGAGGAATGCGAAGCTGCTTTGAACCAGAAGAACCAAGCATACAATCCATGGTTAATAAAGCCACAAGGAGAAACGTTCATGAATACTGATTGAGGAGATGCAAGGAGAAACGTCTACATCACAGAAGGAAAAGAAAGTGGGAGCAAGAGGAACTGGAGAAGACCGAAACATTTTTTGGAGATAAGGATTTCCGAGATTTTTATAAACAGGAACCGAAAACCCTACTCTAATGTCTCCTACATCTGCAACGACCATGAGGGTAATTGGTAAATAAACTGTAGTTAATAATATTTTATTCAGGTGTCCAGGGGATTTTCGAGGTTTCAAGTTGTTATTAGGAATTTAACCTCAGAGGAGCTTTAGGAGGCAAGGAGAGAGGAATCAGAGAAGTGAGGAGTTCTTTAACTTCAGCAGTGTGGGTGGGATGGAGTTTGGTATGGGGAGTGAATGTGTTGGATAGGTGTTTGGCAAATTCTTCAGCTCTAGTCTCATCTGACGAAGCCCAGGTTCCATCATCTCGTCGGAGTGGGTGGGAAATAGATTAGTATTTAAGGATTTTTTTGGTCACTTTCCAGAGGGAGTTGTCATTGGTAGAGAGGTAAGAAAGGTAGTAATTGTAGGATTGTTATCTAAAGGTAGCCAGTTCTTTTTTAACCTGTTTGGAATAGTAATTGTATAATTTCCGATCATCAAGATGCCTGGTTCTTTGCCAGAGGGTCCTAGATTGGCGTTTGGATTTAATAAGGTCAGTAAGGTTTTGGGACAAAGGATTCTTTTTAAGGGTTTTTTTGGAGGGGAGTGGTGAGAATGCAGTCCAGACTGCTTGTTGGATCAAGATGGTGAAGGAACTCACTGTATTATCTAGGTCTTAAGGGGTTTTTAGGGATACTCTGAGGTCTATTGCATCTGTTATTGTTTGGCAGAAAAGGTTCCAGTTGACTGGGCCTCTAAGGAATGAGGGAGGAGATAATTTGGGGATAGGAAATGTGGGAAGGGTTAGGTTAGCAGAGTCTGAGGTAAGATCATCGAGCGAGTGAAATTGAGAAATTTAGTGGTCCTAGACCTTTGTGAATAAAGAAGTCAAGGAGGTCAGGATCTGTTGGCCAGTATGTAGGAGTATCAGGGGAAAGGATGTTGCTATTATGGGAATTGAGAGCAGACAGCAATGTTCGCCTGCGGGACTTTGTGGTTCTGGCTCCCCATTGCTGATGTTTTCCATTAAGTTCTGTATCAGACGCTTTCCTTGCTCTGGCGGGTCCTGTCAGAGCAAGTCATTAAAGCGAGAAGACGTAGCTTGGAAGTCAATGCTGAAAAAACAAAATATATGGTTACAGTAGAGACGCCTAGGCCTGGAGAGGAGGTGACTTTCGGGGAGTCTCGAGAAGGATAATGTTTTTGCATATCTTAGCTCATTGGTAACTCAAGACCTGAACAAAAAATTCGGCATAGGATCATAGCAGCAAATTGGTGCTATTTTTCTATGGCAAGGCAGTTCCGGAGTAGAGCTCTTTCCAGAAAATCGAAGCTTTGTCTTTATAAGATGATAGTGCATCCAGTCTTGCTGTATGGTTGTGAGACTTATACTACCTCCCGGGCTTGTTAACAGTAACTCCTAGTCTCTGAAAGAAGAATACTCAAACGCATATATAGTGTGTGTGTGTGTTGTTTACACCCACATTTTTATGATTTTCTCAAAAAAGGCTTCAACGGTTTCTGTTTAACTCAGTGTATCATTAAGCACTATTTAGTATAATGTAGGTTTTATTCTGATTGATGTTCTCTAACAGAACTTAAATGGCTACTTTTCTATATTAGCTTCCTCTAAAGTACCTTTAATTTTTTGTATTTGAAATAATTAGCCATTTCACATTAATCTTTAATAGAAAAAATAGTTAAATATAATATATGAAAGAATTTGATAATTAACTAAAGGAGAAATAAGGGATCGTAACGGATAGTAGTTGTAGTTGAAGAACCAAAGGAATTCGAGCTCGACCAAGCACACCTGAGCTCGCCCAAAAGATTACAACAGGCTTCCATACGTAACATGAGCTTAATATAATATGGACTCCGGCAATATTATGTACATACCTATATACATATGTGGTTTTCATATATGCTATCGTTAGTATTATTTAATATTTAATTGTACAGCTATATAAAAATTAAAATTTGTCTATATAAGGGTATTTAAACAAATTAAAATATCCACAATGTAGCGTCTATAATTTTTACTTTCACTTCCACTTTTCTGAAAATACTTATTTCTGCTAAGAAGAGAATGGTTAGTGAAAGTCGTGTTCACGCACCAGATTTTTTATTATTTGCTATGCTTATAAATTTTAAATTTATTATTTATGTATTTTAAATAAATTCTCTTATATTTAGTTAAAACTAAACAGATATGGTTTCTTTCTATCATTCCATGCATTATAGTTTATTTATTTCTCTTGTATTATGTTGTAATAATTTTTTTAAAAACGTTTTAGTAACATATAGATAATTATTTTATTTCAGTATCATGAAGAAAAAGATCTTTCGATGTATTGTTCGCTTTCTATAGTAACAAGATGGGTGTTTACAATTTGTGATCATTGTTGCAAACATCTGGGTGTAAAGCTCATCCTTGGAAGACATGTGCCAAAAGATACAGATCTTTCAGAAAGTGCTCGATTTATAGATGTAAGTTAATCTTGTGTATATATTTTATTTTTTAATAGTCAAATAGCTTCTTTATATTTATCTACCTATATCCGGAATTTATAATATAGTAAGAGAAAATATTGCAATCATTGCAAATTTTGTCCACAGTTGCACATGTTATCTTTATAGCATTCTGGAACTGGCAGATGATCCATCCTGGCCAACGGCCGGGAGAAGATTGGGCTGAGAAGAGTGGGGTTTACGTCCTGCTCTTCACAACACTTCCAACTCCAATGTATATTTTTGAATATGATTACTTGATTAATAAAAATCATTACATTCGAATATTCTCCATATTCTCCAATTTAAAAAAAAAATAAAACTTTATACAATTATATATATATATATATTAATAATACTTAAATAAAAAATATGAAAACAATTAATGTTAACATAGGGTGTCCATTGACTGGGAAAACCTGGAATTCTATGTGAATTTTCCCTAAGGGAAAATTTTTGAGAATTCAAAAAAAAAAAAAAGGATTTTTTATTGTTGTGCTTCTTTTGTGTCAAAGTAAATGAGTTTTTCCTAAATAAATAAAAAAAATGTTTTTCTGACGATGGGAAGAACATTTCCCAAAATATCTAACAAATAGAAATAGAAATAGAAAAATCATCTTTATTCTGGGACTAGGTCCCTTTAGAATAACAGTATTGTTCATATATATTAACTACAAATCTGGTCAAAAGACTTATTACAATGAATAATGACAAAATACATGTAATACATTAAGTATTAATTAAGCTCTTAGGATAAATTAACGAGGACAGTTGGGTAATAGGGGTTCAGTATTACAATATTGGAGCTAAAATAATTGCATAATAATTACTGAATGAAATTATAAAGGAAAGTAAAATCTATTTTATAGGTAAAGCATTGTAGTGATGGAATATAAAAATTAAAAAAAATAATAATAACTGTTAATATGTAGGGAAAGAAATTGTAAAATCTAAAACAAAAAAATATATAAAAAAACAAATAATGATATACATATGTTCCCTAAGATATTTAAGTGATTATGCGTAAAGATTAGGAGAAGAGAAAATAAAATAAAGTATATATATATATACACATAGCGAGAAGTATGTTGAAGATAATTAGAAATAAAATACATTTCACTGAAATACATTCCATGAATCACAAATTAGAACTTAAGGAAAACAAATTTTATCTACTCACAATGCTTAGTGAGTGGTGATGAAAATTCACGTTCAACACAGAATAAAACAATAAAAAATAAGAGAAAAAAAATTAAATCCTTATAACATAGTATGTATTTAACCAGCGTCTGATTGGATTGTGAAGAGGAATTGGAATAAGAGGGTTTTAAAGGTGGATAAGGATGATGCATGGCGGATTTTTAGTGGGATGGAATTCCAGAATGCAGTGGAACGGACAACGAAGGAATGTTTAAATGATGCAGATCTGTGGAAAGGAGTGTAAAGGTCAGAAGGACGAGATCTTGTGGAGAGGGTGTGGATAGATGATTTGAATTGTAGGAGATTGTATGCGTAGGACGGACGATGACTATTGATTATTTGGTAAAGGAATGTGCCTAGGAAATATTGTCTTCGGAAGGAAGGGAAGAGCCGTCCTAATTCAGCATAGTGGTGCAAAACACGGGAATACCTCAGGGCCCCTGTGACAAATCTTACGAAGGCATTCATAATATAACAATAAGAATAAAATTCAATAAAAAGACATCCTCCTGTATATAATTGTATATTCTTTCTTGTTACGGGCTACTATCATATTCAATACAAATATGGTTGTATTTACAGGTACGATAAAGAATATTGTCATATTTACATAAATGTTTGTATTCCTTATTACTGAACAAATATTAATAAAATTTAAAATGGTTGTATTGTTACCTCTATCTGTAGTAAGCTTTAAATTTACCTCCAGCTCAGTGAAGAAGGGGTGGGTCATAAAGAAAAAGAAATTAAAATTAGAATAATATTTATTAGAAAACATAAAAAAAAAAAATTAGTTTTTTTTCAATAAAACGACAAAAAAATTCAAATAATAAAACAAAACAAGAAAGAAAAAAAAAAAATAAATGAACCACAATTAGAAATAGGAAAGAATTGACAAATTATTATCTTAAATTACCTTCGTAAACAATTGTAATTAAATACTATTAAAATCTTCTGAACTAAAATAATGATTCCTTAACCTAACATAAATATATATAACTAAAATGTTGCAGTACAATTTAAATATTTCTGAACAAAAAAAATTTAAAAGAAAAAAAACTCTTATCTTATTGGTTATTTTAAATATTCATCTAAATATATGGCAGCCTTTCCTTTCAACCAAAGCACCTCTGCTTAGTCGAATTTTCAGTGCCTTCGTCCTCAAAAGCTGGTCCCCTTCCAGTTTGTTCAGATCTTCTCGATATAATATTCCGCAGATTGATAAGAAATAGAATCCGGTGAAGCCATTAACAGAGCTTGACACACCACAGTTTCCAAAGGCTCTCTGTCCTCGACTGTTTATATTGGGATCTTTTCCAGCTGCTTATATGCTTTGTTATCTTAAAACCAATTCTATTACCTGGTACTGGTACTGGTGGGGGGACTTAGTCCAGCAAGTGGGCCTATTGGTCCTTTTTGCCAGATTCTATTACCTAGTAAACATCTTAATAACTACACAATATGTGCATTGTTTTTTTGTTTTTTTTGCACAGCAGTTCAGCTTCATTCAGGTCGCATTTTCCTTTTTTATTTTTATTAGAAAATAGGTGCATAAATACTTTCCTGATGATTTAAATATAATTTTTAAATCATTTAAGCTGCTGAATGTCGCTTTTATGTTTTGTTTTTGAAAATTTTATTATTTGATTCCAAATTAAATTTATAGAAATGTCGGGACTTGGAGGGGCTGGTATAAAAAAGTTGAGAGTTAGGAAGGAACTTTTCTCACATCAATTCAATTTACAAATTTCTAACTCTATACATTAATTTAGAGGGGACATAGAAATGTGCAAAGCATGAAAAAATGGTTAATGTCAAAATGCACTTCTCAAACTCCAAATCAATTTAAATATGGGTTGGAGTGGCCGATCAGTAGTGAGCGGGGGCGGCCACATGATAAACAGAAGTTTACAAGATATAATAATTACATTTCCATCCTGGTGCCGCAGGGGCTTTAACTCTGACATTAATCCCCTGCTCTCCCTGCGGAGTAAAAAAAAAAATCTTGATTTAAATACAAAACTATTTCATATAAAGAGGGACTGCTTCAAAAAAAAAAAAAAAAAAAGAAATTATATTAGACATTTCCAGAACTCCTATATACACCAGTACTTTAATATACTTATCATAATATAAAATAAAAAGTGTAACACAAGTACAGGTTGCGATAAGAGCTTACACTATAGGCAGCTCATTATTGTTTATTTGAGGCATTTGGTTTCAAAACCGATTACATCCATCTTCAAAAATGCTCTAGAACTGATCAGAAAAGTTGTATAAAACCACTTTTGATAGGAAATCGAATCTTTTGGAAGATCTAAACGGTTTTGATACAAATCCATCTAATTTTCTAAAAATAAATCTTAAAAACTTGTGAAAAAAAAATTATATTGATGTAACCTGTTTGGAAACCAAACACCTCATGTGAAACAGAAGTATTTATGGGGAAAAAATCTGAAAAAAACAGTACAAATATTAAAAGAACTGGAAAAACCGGTAAATGTACAGGAATTTTTTGGAGGAGAATCGCTGGACACCCTGCATACTCTCCACCACTCTATACTTCCATCTAACTGGGGGTCTTCATCTTCTTCTTCTACTTTCTGCTTCCTATCCATAATTATCATTGGTATCCTATCATCGCCCATTTGTCTCAAATGGCCATACCATCTGAGTCTCCTGTCTTCCATTACCTCTCGGATATTCTGCTTTATTTCCAATCTCTCCCTTATAGTGGCGTTTCTTATCCTTTCAATCCTTGATATCCTAGCTAATCGAACTAAGTTGAAATTATCTTTTTTTTCACTTAGTCTTCAACATTTTTCTTATAAATATAAAATGTTTTCAAATACATACATATACTACAGTGTCATCTTGTAATTTGTGTATGTATTTGTTAATAATACCAGAGGATGAAGTAAAACAAAATTAGTTTTAAATTGGTGTCTCATGAGTTTCCCCTGGGACTGCATATTTAAATGAAATCATGGTTAATGATACTTCTCATGTCTGATTCATGCCAGACATTTAAAAATGTATGAGAAGCATGAACTAATCACAAGGATCATGAGTAGTAATATGTATACAATCCATTCTATGAATTCTGTAGGTATGCAAGCATTTCTCTTGATTGTTATCTATATTGTTGCTAATTTGTTCTTAAGCTATTCTGGATACCCCTTTATATTCTTGAGAACAAGTAGTTTATCAAAACTTTTCTTATTCAGTCTATTTTTATCCATCCCAACCATATGTCCATAAATTTTAATCTTCTTTTTCTCATTGAAATATGAGATATTTTATTTTTATTCTATTATTTTTTCTAGTTTTATTTTTATTATTGAATTAGGTATTTAGGTTGTTTATTACTAATTAGGTTGAAATAGGTACACTAAAAATCTGTAACGACACATCCCTAATTAGTGATAATTTCGTACTTCTAAATCTACATTCCTCACCCTGTGTTTAAATCAAGGCCCAGATTTTTATGCTGCAAAAACTCACAGAATATGACATATAACATGCAGTAAAAAACAAAGAAAAATACTGTAACTTTTCTAAATATGCTAAAATTACTAATTACTTGATTACTAATCTGTCAGTTCAAATTCAAACTTTTCTAAATCAAATTAAACTTTTTCCCAGTCAAATTCAACCTTTTTTTATTTATTTAATGTTTTTTAATTTCTCGATGTACGAGTCAATTATGGTATGCATAGTTTTTGAAAATAATCTTCATTTTAAGATTACACCACCACGTTTCAATTTATTTAAGTTTTTCAGATTTATTCCATATTCTTATGTTTCCAGAGCCGTAGATTTTGAAAATGATCTGCAATTTAAGATATTTGTAGAGGTGTGAGTTCCAGGTTTCTAAATAAAATATGTAATCTAGCTAGTGCTAGTTTGTTCCATCTCCTTAGAATATTTTTTTTCTGAAATATTTTTGAAATATTTCCACTTCCATTAGCTTGAAATATTCTCAGACTTGAGTTCTGGAACACATTACTGGTTATAGGGCACTATTAAACACTAACATTTTTCTCTCTGCAGGGTTAATTTTTTCAGATATTACTTTATTCCAAATATTACCAACTGCAAACTTGCCTTTTATTATTTTTTCCTTACAGTTTATTTTAAAATTAAATGAATGATTAGTGTTGATGCCCAAATATTTATAATTATCCATGCAAAGCACTCTCTGACCATTAAAATACCACTTTTCATTCTTTTTCAACCTTCCTCTCCTTCTCCTGCTCCCCATAATCTATGATTTATCCAGGTTCACTTTATGATTGCATTTATCACAGTACACTTCCAGATCTCTAATCATTAATTATAAGGAAACTGGTGATGAGGCTATAATCACTATGTCGTCGGTTAATATCAAAGTACAACGTTAAAACTTCTCTAAGAGGTATAATGCTTCTGAAGGGTTCTAAAAATGCAATCTCAAAAAAAAGAATTGGCCAAGGAAGCTCTTTTTCCAGCTGCTATCTAAATTATATTAATATCCTATTATCTATTTAAATTGTATAACTGTGTGTCTGCTCATACTTGTACTACTCACTATTAGATCATTTATTTAATTATTTATTGCTTAATTAATATTACTTTTTTTTTTTTAGGATAAACAATCTTCTAATAAGTTAGATCATGGTGCTTCTTGTAGTAAACCCTTGACCATCATTGACCATGGCCGTTTAAAAGTAAGATTAATATTATTTTGTAAATATATGAGTGCTTTTTTTTTTTTATTTATACTTGGGCTGGTAGAAATCTTCAAAAGACATGAATAGGCTCATACCTATTCATGTGTGGAAATTTTACCCACTAAAGCCAACCTTCCTTCATCAGTTAATTTCCCTCCACAGAACCTCTGTTAGGCATTATTTCATGGATGGTAATGGTAATGTGCTGTCTCATTGTTTTAAGTCTATTTAGTTATTTATCTCCTGGCTAAAAGCCTTCCCCAATCCTTTCTTCATCCGCTCTTAATTTCTTCAATAAAACTGTGACGAATTTCTTCACAGCTTCCAAATTGGCAACATAAGGTTTGTCAGATTTTTGGGATTGACATTCAATTCTTTTATTTTCTCGTCGAAGTGGGTGCATAAAAAGAACATGTGTTCTACTGTTTCTTCGATTGCTATGCAGACCGGGATTCAGCAGTGTTATTTTTGCTTTGAGGTTTCCTGATAGGTTAATTTAGGATGTAGGGGTTATCGGCCCATAACATCCGAGTCCGATGATAGGGCTGCTTCCTTGAAGCCTTCGGACCTGCTTCCCCATACGGGCAATAGGGAAGATACTAGGGTGTATACTGTTAATGTCATTGTCTGAAGTGTAAGGTGTGTAATGTATGTGTACTGTTCTGGTGAGTGTGCATGGTGTACTGAGCCGTGGTATCCTGTGGGAGCGCTGATCCCCAGGCATCTGTATGCAACAGATACCCCTTACGGGAGGCTGATTGCATGCACCTAACTGGATAAGTGATGGGGCTGCCAACTCTCTACGCCAGTATATTTAATAAAATACTTTCCTATAATTATATTTTACTATTACTCAAATGTTTATTAGTAATAAGTTATATGAAATTTATTCTTCAGAGCTCAGAATATTTTGTTTTCATTACTTCTGTGAAATTTGGGTTAAAAAAAACATTTTTTTTCCTCTAGTCTTTTTGATTATTTTTTTCCCTCTCAATGTAATTTATGTTATTTGAATCCAAATTAAGTTTTAAATTTCGATTATTGAATCCAATTGATTAGAATTTCAATTACTTGAGTTTTTTTAAAAATTACCCGGATACATATTAAAGTTGTCAATGATAATGTTTACAAATTTTACAGTTCTAATCCACCTAAGTTTTTTTTTTTTTTTTGTAGGAACAAAGAGCTGAACAAAAACGGGCGCAGGATATGCATTTGCGTGCAAGTGAAAAAATAAGGCTTCCTAAATCCAGTATGTTCTATTTCATCTATTTCATAGAATATTTATTCAATTTTAGACTAACAAGGGAAGTTACAGACGTGGAGTCACCGATTTTAATAAAACTTGTTGCTACTATGTCTAAAAGGGTTCTTGCCAATGTACCCTAGGAGCCGAGAAAAAAAAATCTGAGACCTGCATCACAAAACTTTCATTTACTGCTCCACTATGAATAGAAAATATTTTCTGGCAATGTTGGGTTATTACAAGTTTTTAAAGTGCCTTTTTTAACAGAGTTAAACCTTAAACATACAGTCAACCTGTAACAACTCATTAAGGTTATTTACATAACACAAATCCTATTTATTATATTGATGTTTTTTTTTTTTTTTATTTCTTAATGACATTTACAACGGTATTACATAAATACATCAAGTAAATTTGGACATAATAGATATAATGACATGAATACACTTGCTGAGTAACTACCCAATGGTAGCACTCTAATGATATAACTACATTAGGAGATCACGGGCCATCTTCTTTTCAGACACCTCCGAGGGTTATCAAGAATTGAAGAGGAAGGAAGGTTAGAAACGAGAGAGTTGGGATGATTCTGAAGTTTATTATGGAAGGATAGGTATCTGTATTGGGCCAGATCTGAAACAAAAGAAACATTAAGGTCATTATGAATGGTTTTATTTGTAACAAAGTAGTTAGCATTGAGGATTTTACGAAGGATTTTGGATTGTAAGGATTGGATTTGAGAGGAATTCGATGGTTTAGTGGAGCCCCATAGCTCAACTCCGTAAGTCCAAATAGGTCTTATTATAGTCAAGTTTATGAGTCTTTTGTAATTAATGGGAAGTTTAGAGCGTTTGTCTAGTAAGTGCTGAAGTAATCGGAAATGTCGAGCGGTTTCTTGTCGTTTTAGTCTAGTATGAGGATTCCAAGTTAGTCGTTTGTCCAGGTGGAGTCCTAGGTATCGGATTGTCTCAACAGGGATAAGTGGAGTATTGTTAAAGGAAACTGTAGGACAGGAAGTTGTTGGTTTACGACGAAGGGTAAAGGTAATTTGATGGGATTTATTGGAGTTTATTTTAATTCTCCAGTTTTGACACCATTCTTCTGGATTTATGATGTGTGATTGAAGCATTTGGGATGCAATTGCTGGGTCATTGTTTACTGATAGGATACATGTGTCATCGGCATATGTTGTGATGACAGTGTTGGGACAGGTAGGGATGTCAGCTGTATAAACTGTATAGAGGATAGGACCTAGGATACTACCTTGAGAAACACCAGCGGACTGGGAAAATAATGATGTTAAAAGTAATAAAACCTCTTTACTCCATCTGTGTTTGCAAACCACCTAACTCCAGTCTCTGAGCTATTTGTGCCTAGAGAGATTTGAAAGTATAACGGTATATTTAACCTGTAAATGATTATAGTTTGTACTACCATTAGTTATGAAACTCTAATGTTTCCATTGTGGTTTACTGAAATTGAGTAATTAGTAATGGCCTAATTATTTAAACTAGTGTTCGCCCAGTGGTTGAAATTCGACCATGGCCATTAAAAATTTGAGAAAAACATATAATACAATAAAAAAATAAATAATAAATCACGATTCAAAAATCCTCATTTATTAATATAAACAAAATTTCAATTTCAATTAAAAATCGAGCTTAAACTAAAATTATTTATAAGTAATACAAAATAGACTCATTCAAAATATTTAATTTCCAATTTAATTTATGTGTGTTATTATCACAATAAATTAATGTTATGATTAACCAAGTAAAAAATAAATTTAAATTAGCAATTTCAACTCAGTTTAAATCCATTTTTATGCAGAACTTCTCTGTAAACAATGTTCTTTTTGAATATTCTGTTATTGTTTAGTACATAGCATTGCCCATTGCCATTGGAAATATAAATTTCAAAATTTTAAATGAACGTGCTCTACTTGCTGCCACTTATAATTGTCCATGCGAAATTACTGGACGTCCCAATAATACACAAATTTTTCCAAAACTTTGACTCTGCGATTGTGCTCAGCTAGAAGTTTCACTTAAAACTGCTAAGTGAAACTCCTAGTTGAACACACCTCCCTGAAGAAGACCGGCAAAGTCGTCTCGAAATGTAGGCTTTTAATAAAATTAGTTTTACCACTATTTATGACCGCCACCCCGGACCATCTACTTCCTTTATAAATTATAAATGTTTCAAGGGGAAGACTTTAACCAAGTTTCATTAAAATAGTTGAAGTTGTATTTGCGCTACAGTCTAAAGCGAATCACATTTTTCGGCCGCCATTTCGAAAAGAAAGGCCTGATGATATTGAAACGTATACAAAAACATTTCTAAATATTATTGCGACGTGTCAAAATTTCAAAGAAATCGGTGAAGAACTTTCGGAGATTAGCTGTTTTGAACAAACTACCATTTATATTTTTATTTACATACTATTTAATATTTTTATTTATTGATAACACTAAAGCTCGTCAATAGCTATTAAACAAAAAAAGAAGGAAGAAAATCGGTTGAATAATAGAGGAGTAAAAGGGGCTGAACCGTTTTGTGTTTGCCTATTTATATAATGATATAATATCTGATCAAGAGTTATTAAACGTATTTGAGATTAAAAGATATGTTTTACACATCCATGAAATATTTTTATATTTCATTTCTTCTTTCACACTAGTACCATGAAATAGTTTTTTAATAATTTCATTTCCTCGATTTGGTGGATTTTATATGCTTTTTTCAAATTAAATATAGTTTTAAAAGCTTATATTTTGTTAGAAAATTTCATTCAATTTTCTTGGAAACGTGTGATTTCCATTAAATAATATTAGTTTTCAGAAATAATCTTTTTTTTTCTCTTTTCTGAGAAGTTGTATGTTTTAGACATGAATTTAGAACCTGACAATGGAGCACATTAGATTTAAGATAATTACAAATTTAATATAACAAACCAATTTTGACATGTATTGTAACATGCACTATATTTTAACTCAATTTTTTAGCCACGAATCAACAAAAAAACATTGGAATTGTAGTTCTGAAGATGGGAATAAATATCCCAAACGTTAACATGTAAACATGTAATTTGGAAATACAACAAATAAATTCAATTGTTGTTTAATTGGAAGTCATAATTGCCAAAAACAAATAACAAAAATAATTTATTTACCACTTTACATTACTTTCTACAACTTTGTATGTTAGACATTGTTTTTTTTTCTAAAATTCTCAGCTTTCCAACAATATATTGTACGTATACCTTCTGACTGTTATTTCCGGAAATTTATTTTCGACCTAAATAAACATTTTCAATTATCAAATTCTTCCACAGGTCATTTTTATCCTTTTTACTTTCACTTACCTATATATGTAATATATAGTAACGGAGAGTATTGCAATCGTGAAAATCTTCGAATCCGAGTTTTCAACGAAAATCCAAGTTTTGAGGTATCCTAAGTCCAAATAACCAAGTCTTGAAAAATGGCCAGAGATACCCATTTTCCTAGACCTGGTTTGTTGTTTTTGAATGGGATTTCTTCCGATTCAAGCAGCTACTGCTCTCACTGCATTTTCCATTCTCACAGTACAGGGACGAGGTCAGTCATATACAGATAGGGTCTCATTATATTTATTTATAGTGCGGTACACGAACATACGGCTGATACCCAAAGGTTTCAAAGTGTTGAAAATCTATGACCTATTTCCAACTTTGTGTAACACGATCACAGCTATTCAGTTTTCTTTATCACCCCACTCCATGTTAACTGAGCGAAAGAAAAATACAAACTAATTGGGATTATTATCCTGACATGTAAAGAAAATAACCTGATAGAGGTAAGGGTTATCTAAATAATACCCAAGGATGTAAACAAAGTTCAACTTTTGTAACAGTATTTATGGCAGAACTAGATATATGTGACCAATTAAACGTTTCCAATTCTAATATATACGTGTAAAATAAAGAAGCTCGCTGATTGCTTGAATTATTTTCATGAAATCGTAAATATTAGGATTGGAAAGATTTGATTATTCACTTAATAATAAGAAACAATTTCTATAATACAGTGAAGCCCCCCCCTCCCAAAATGGTAAAATATAACCATGTTTTATGGAAAGAAATATTGAAAAATTATCTCTTAAAGTATCATTGTTCGTGTATGTAGTAGACATTCCCCTGTATTTACTCCTTTAGGCGACATTGTGTGAGGGAATGAGAAGGAATATATAATAAATAGGAATGGGAGGTTGCACTGTGAATTGTACTCAATTGTTCGGTGGACAAATTGCTCATTGGAAAATCTAACATCGATAAACAATCGAAAAGAAGAAAAGGTCCGATCAGGTAGCTGGCAACAGATGGTGAAGAGGACGCCAAACACTTGAGGCCTGGACACCAACACAAGAAGACGTCATCTGGGAAGAAAGGCTTACTACATTGAAGACCAAGATTATCAAGCCGACCGTTCACTTATATATATTCATTTATCATCAATTGTTAATATAAATTTGTTTTGTAAGACAGGAGTGAATAGTCCTTTTATTTAGTTGTCCTATAGGCCTCACAATTGAAGAATAAACCAGGTGAGTCAATTCATTCAAAGTGTATTGACTAAGTCCCACATTTCATATATGTATTCTTATTGTTTCTTCTCACACAGTGTCATAAAAGGTAATAGATCCCCGAATTCCCAATCACAGTTAAACATCCTCAAAAAGTCGATATCCAGTGCCGGGGTTTTGTTTTAATAATTCACGAGTGTAAATAACCCTAAACCCCGATATAAAAGCGGAAGGCTATGCGCCTATTCCCGCCAAAACAAATCATTTAATATTTAACTTTCCGTAGGTTATTTACATGTAATTACATTTAAAAGGGCTTTAGGAATCAATTAACTACCATTTCATATAGGTAGTTAGTTTCTTTCTTTTTTTCCACAGTAATTATCATTATTTTTGTGAAAAAAAAGCTTTCGGTCTGAAGCCCCCCCCCCCAAAAAAAATTA